GTATACCGGATGTGGGACCCACTAGTGTGGTAAGTTTGATAAAATTTGGCCAATTAGGTTAAGTTGTGTATACCGGGATTAATTTATCAGGTGTGAAGAGATAATTAGAATTTACCTAGATGGATTATCATTGGAGAGATAAAAGGATAGAGTCGCATTAAATAAGGGTGACAAGTGTCACCTTGTGGTTTATTCTTGACTTTGACCATCTTACTTACCTTTACCAATTAACCAAAATTGACCAACAATTCATCATTTTCTTCATCCTTATGGCCGAATATCTTCAAGAGAAAAGAAAAGAAAAAGCTCTCAAATTTCTTGCTCCAACCTTGCTCAATCCAACAAACCAACCGATTAATCTTGAATTTTTTCCATAAAAACCCTTAGTTTAGTGATTGTGAGGTGATTAGTGAAGTGGTTTGGAAGATTATGGTGCTAAGTTGTCTACTTTCTTTGGTTGATAAGGTGAGTAGCAAAGGAACCTCTCTTTTCTATCCAATGATGTTTAATTAGTGGCTTGTGGTAGTTTAAGAGGTGATTTTGTGGGCTATTTCATGATTTTGGTTAAGATTGGCGAATTTTTTCTATTTATTCATGATTTTTCTGCTTTTATATGTTTAATATTGTGTGGCCATAGATGATGGTTGGGAATGGTTTAGAATGAAGCTATAGTGCGTAAATTGTGGCTATTTGCGGAAAATTTCCGCTTTGAAAGGAAATTTCGGAATTAGGGTTTCAATTAACCCCATTCTACCCGGTACTATTTCTCCTAGTTAGATGCTGAATTAGCCTTGGATTAAAACATGAAAATTGTAGAGAATGATATTTTATTGTTGCCTGCAAAATTTTAGCCCAATCGGAGTAATGTAGCCTATGAAAAGACCAAAATGCCCCTGCTGCCCTGTTTCTGTCCGAAACTGATAATCAGCTTCTATAATTGGTTAGTTTGACTGGGAATACTACTGATTTGGTTGTTGATGTCTTCTTAAGAATTATATCTTTGTATCTTAGCTTTCAGATGGCTTTGGAATCACTTGAATTGGAGTCGTATGTGCTGAGATATGATCGAATGAATCAGGACTGCCACAGTAAACTTCAAACTGGAAAACCCTGTTTTGGTATATTTGACCTAGATACATTGTAAACGGGACTGAGTTGCCTTCTTCAACATTGTAGCCCTTTCTTTTAGCTTCGAAACGGTGTATATTGCACATCCATCCGATAATCGTAGCGCCAGTTGTGTCCAATACGCTAAACGACATCAAAACTGTTTTTGGGTTTTAGGGCTTAACTTTCATTTCCGGTCATTTTCCTAACTAAATTTTGTACTTGAATGGCTTTGAACCTATTGAATGACTGTTGTGATGAATTTATATTGTGTATGATGTTGGGATTGATTGAGAAAAATAATGAAGCCATAAGTGGCTGGGGAAAATAGGTAAACACAGAGGGCATGTTGCCCAAAATTTTAGGGATACACGATTCCTTCAATTGAGTTGATCTTAGTACAAATGAGCGATTTTGGGGGTTGTTTGTAACCCTAGGACCAACTGTTATCTTTTTGCTCAAAAGTCATAGTTTATTCTTTTGTACTAGTACTTAACCTGGAAAGACGTACGACATGTAGTCGAGACTCACTTGTATATTCCGTAAACTCACCCCCTTTCTGTTGCCTTTGTTTTCCTTACAGGGGATAAAGGGTATCCGTGGAACGCCTGCCCAGCTCTCGTCAGGACTCAAGCAATTTTTGTTCAAACTTATAGCGGTGCTAGATGTCAACAACCAGATAATATAAATACAATTAGTGCGGAAGCATTCAAGCTTAACAATATTTAACAACTACTCAATCCTTACATCGGGTTTCCATAATACAGTCCAAAATATATAGTAGCCAAAAGTCTAGTCAAAAGAATTGGAACCCTGTTACAGGAGTACACAAAAGAGAATTTCCTCCGAATCTCAATCCAAGCCCAAATCCTGTTAAGGAAAACAAATCTACAGGGTGAGCAAAACGCTCGTGAGGCTAATATCATACATGCAAGCATATTGTTCAAGTAACAATCTAAAATTTACAAGTCGAGCAATAATATGTCAAGAAATTAACAATTCACTGAAAAGTAAACAGAAACAATTCAAGGATACTGGAGCTCAAAGGAGCTATATTCTACTAGCACGATCAAGAACCTCCACGAATTGACACTCTATCAATCGGGTAGGTTTAGTCCTTAGAACTTTACTTAACCTGTCCCTTTTCACCTGACATACCCCTGTTTCGGGCCCGCCTGTCGTTTGTTTGAGGCGATACTGCTCGAGTATGCCAAGCAAGATCTCTTAATAGATCAAGCTTTTGTTTTCTCATGGTTCGCCAAAGAGCCCGACCAAGCCCATGCCGGCTCGAGTCCAAGATTGGCCAATGAGATTTGGGCGTCCCCAAGCATGTTTGGGTGTCGAGGAGATTCACTCCAGCAACGTATGCAGTCATAGCATACTATTTCAAGTCATTCAAGCATGTGACATATTCAAGTAATTGAGAAATTCAAGCATTTCAAGCACGAGTTGTTTATTTCAAACGAGAACGAGTGCTATAAAGTACACTCTCGTCTCAATTTTCAAAATCTCAAGTATCAATAGCAAGTAACATGTATCGAGTTCACAGGAGTTCAAGTAATCATGCACTTGACACTCACCAAGTAAACGAGAAGAAAAGGCACTTGAAGTTCAAGCGTCCACCGTGGGATCCTCTTAAGGGTCCTCGTGCGAGCTTAAGTAATTAATAATGAACAATTACTTATAAATCCCAATTATTAAGAAAGATTGTACACTTGTGCGATTTCAGAAAATTTCACGAAAATGAGCCTTAATTATTCGTAAATCAAGGCTCAAAAGTGGCATTTTAAAACACAAGCGAAATACGATTTCCATCTTTGAAATCGAGTGTAAAACGATCAAGTGATATCAAAGGAAAAGAGAGAGTTTGGAAAAACTCCATTTCCTTTAAGTTATGAATTTCCAGATTTGGTGCACTTACTTTGAAAAATCGTATCTCACTCTCTACAAGTCCAAAATTGGAAAACTTAGTACCGTTGGAAATACATGTCAAAGTACTAAAAGTTTTTAGAAGACAATTTTCCATGATTCCAAACGGAAGATATTCAAAATTCGGTTCAAAGTTTCTGTTCTAGACTATCAAGGCAGTTTCGGGGTTGGTTTTCGCCAATTTTGGAAATTCGACAAAATTCACAGAATTGGAACTAGCCTCTCAAATTTGAAACTCGAATAGAGTTACAATCAAAGTTTAAAATGGAACAAGCAGAACGAGAATTGAAGTTTTGAGCACCAAGATATGGTAACTCAAAGTTACCCAAATTTCCTTGTTAAACAAAGGTTTTTCAAAATCAAGTCATGACCTTTGGAAATTTAGTTGAGCAATGAAACGACCTCAGAATAGCACCAAAATTAGTAGTATAATACTACCATATAAGGACTATTTCTCTGCCAAATTTGATAGATAAGTAAGTACGGGAAGTTGATTAACCAAATCACCCAAGTTCCAAAAATTCCAAGGCAAATCTGCCTTGCGAGTTTCGTTTTCCGTTTTCAAAACATTTGGCTTACAAAGTTCTTCAAACATGGTCCATTTGCATAGACAATGTCTAAGAGGTATCCCAAAACACAATTTTGGGTGATTAACACCAAAAATTTGGAGTACAAGTCCCACACAAGATCAGGATATTCAATTAATGGTTTGGCTCACACAAGTGGAACCAGGACGTGCATTTTATATCAATAGAAAACTGGGAATGTCTAGTTTCTAGTGCCGCAAACAGCACTCGATTTCGACATCGGGGTAAAAAGTTATAACCGAAACAACAGGACTGTCTGGGTAATCCGGGAAAATTTTCCAGTTCTGCCATACTTTGGAAATCAACACATTTGACCAACCAAATCATGTTATTTTTCAACGAAACTTTCTACACTATCCATATAACATGTATATATCATAAAAACATTATTAGAACCTCAAAATTTCGCACCAAAGTGCACGAACAGGGCAGGGGTAAAACAGTCACTTTGGACCATTGCACCATCATTGAGTTTCTATCAACAACCCAACATTATTCCACTAAACCAACATTAATTTTATCATCAATCATCAAATCAGTCCATCCAAACCAAGTGGAAGTTCTTAGAACCCACACAACAATTTTTCTAACATAAACAATGTGACGCCCTCACTTCTCCCTAAGGCGAACCAAAGGGTATCTGCGGGATGCCTGTCCAACTTTCGCCAGGACTCAAGCAATAACTTTTCAAGCTTATATCGGTGCTAGAAGTCGACAACCAGAAAATATACATTCAGATAGTGCGGAAGCATTCAAACTTAACGATTTATAACAATCACCCAATTCTTACATCGGATTCCCATAATACAGCCCTAAATATACAATATCCAAAAGTCTAGACAAAAGAGTTGGAACCCTATTACAAAAGTACACAAAAAAAGAAATTCCTCCGAATCTCATTCCAAGCCCAATCTTGTTAAGGAAAACAAATCTACAGGTTGAGCAAAACGCTTGTGAGGCCAAGAACACATATGCAAGCACATTGTTCAAGTAGCAATCCCAATTTAACAAGTAAAGCATCAATATTGCAATAAATAACAATTTGAGCGGAAAAGTAAGCAGAAACAATTCAAGGATATCGGTGCTCTCAAGAGCTAATTTCCACTTGCTTTACCAATGTCATTCGTATACCTTCCCGCGATGACACTCCGTCAACCGGGTCGGTATTTCCATTCCGTAGATCACCACTTACTTCCCTCCGTCCACCGTGCACCTCCCGGGCCCGCAAGACATTTATAAGGCGATACTCCACGAGTATGCCAAGCAAGACCTCTCATTAGGTCGAGCTTATTTAACTCATGGCTCGCCAAGTTTCCCGACCAATCCCATGCCGGCTCGAGTCCAAGGTCGGCCTATGAGTTTGGGCGTCCCCCATTTACATTTGAGAGTCGAGAAGATTCACTCCAACGACGTATGCAGCCATAGCATACCATTTCATTTCATTCAATCATTCAATCATCTCATTTCATTCATTTAAGTCATTCATAATTCATTTGGTTCATTTGAATCATGAGTCATTCATTTCAAATGAGAACGAGTGCGGTAAAGTACACACTCACCTCCATTTTCAAAATCTCCAAACAATCATAACAATTAAATTTGTATCAAGTATTCATACACTTGACACTCACCAATATAAGTAATGAGGAAGAAATGTCTCTCAGAGCTTTAGACGTTCACTGTGGGATCCTCTTGAAGGTTCTCTTGTGTGTCTGAGCAATTAACAATAGACTATCATTTACAAACCCCTACTATTAAAGAAGATCGTACCATAGTACAATCTTAGAAAGTCTCGTGAAACGAGCCTTATTTATCCTAAATCAAGGCTCTCAAGTGGGGTTTCAAAGTACAAGAGAAATTTTGTTTTCATCTTGGAAATCAAGTATAAAAAGTTCAAGTAGTATTGAAGGAATAAGGAGTACTTGAAAAACTCCATTTCCTTGGAATTCGAAAAATTTCAGTTTTGATATGATACATTAGAAAAATCGTATCTCACGTTTTACAAGTAAAAAATTGGAAAACTTGGCACCGTTGGAAACCTCTTCCAAGGTACTAAAAGTTCATAGAATACACTTTTCCATGATTCCAGACGGAATGTATTAAAAAATTGGCTCAAAGCTGCTGTTTTAAACATGAGGACAGCTTTCGGGGTTGGTTTTTGGCCAATTTTGGAAATTCGGCAAAATTCACCTATTGCGAACCAGCCTTTGGAATTTGGAACTCAATTAGAGTTACAAACAAGGTTTAAAACAAAATAAGTAGAATGAGAATTGAAGTTTCAAGCACCAAGATATGGTAGCTCAAAATTACCCAAATTTCCTTGTTAAACAAGGGTTTTCCAACATCAAGTCATGAACTTAGGAAATTTATTTGAACCATGAAACGGCCTCGGAATAACACCAAAATTAGCAGTATAATACTACCATATAAGGGTTGTTCCTCAACCAAATTTCATGGAGAAATAAGTACAGAAAGTGGGTTAACAAAACCGTTGAAATTCCATGAAATTCTAAGGCTAAACTGCCTTTGAACTTCTGTTTTGCCGTTTCCAAACATTTGGTCAAGGAACATCTCAAACATGGTTCATTCCAGTAGGAAATGTCCAAAATATGTTCAAGGTACATTCAATAGATGATTTACACTAAGAAGTTTCGGATAACAAGTCCCAAACCATAGTTAGTTTCAAATCTGTCCAAAAACACTGTTTTCATTCACAAAGTCAGTTTTGAATTTAGATCATAAATCACTCAATTCAACTCAGAATTGAGCGTGGTTGATGGAGTTAGAAAATAAACTCATAAGGCTATATTTTCTCAGAAGAAACTATTTTCAAAATCTGTCCATAACCAACTCATTCGTGAGCATCAAGTTGCAACTCATGTGCTGCCTTCTAGGAAGCAACGAAACAGGACAATAGATTTCAAACAAATGGTTTGGCTTGCTCAAGAGGAACCAGAACATGAATTTTATACCAATATAAATCTAGGAATGTCTAGTTTCTAGTGCCACAAATGGCACACGATTCCGACATCGGAGTAAAAAGATATAACTGAAACAAAAACACTGCCTGGGTGAATATGGGATTAGTTTCCAGATTTCTAAGCTTTCGTAAATCCAACATTTGGGTGACCAAATCAAGTTATTTTTCAGTGAAACTTTTTACACAACCAATATAATATGTAAAAAACATATACAATCCATTAGAACCTCAAAAATTTTGTACAAAAGTGGTCGAACAAACCAGGGGCAAAATGGTCACTTTTGACTATAGCACCATCCTTGGGTTTCCAACAATATCCCAACATTAATCCACCAATATAAGCACTAAGTAAACATTATTACCATCAAAACATCACAAATCAGTCCATATATCCATTACCACATTATTATTTTTGCTGCTTGATGGCCGGCCAGGAGAGACTAGGAGAGAGAGAGTGTATTGATCAAATATAGCTTTCTTAAGAACCTTTAATGTGTGGCCCAAGTTGGTGCAAAAGTCAACTCTTCTTCGCGCGTATACGCGCGCGTTTTGTGCTCGATTCCTCTCGAGTTTATTTCACTAGTGCACTAAACCTGTAATGCACTCATATTAATATTAATATTATTTACTCTTAATTGCCCCAAAATAAGGGTCTAAAGTCCTTCAATTAAATCGCGCGTGTAAAAACGCGTATCTCCAAATTAAGCGCGATAAAGCGAAACCTCCAAGAATTTCTTATAATGATAGTACTAATAACTATCACTTGAGTATTTAAACATAAAAACACCTATTTTAAGTCCATCCTGCTAGTCTCAAATTTTCCAAACTTATTGTATTCTCGAATCGATTATTGACTCCAATCGCGTATTCATTATTTTCAATTAAAGAGCTTCCAAAAATTAAATTTTGAAACGAATCACTTTAAAAATATAACGAAACTATAATTCCATGTAATTTGGTCTAAAGAGGTTAAAAAATAATATTCGAAATAAATGAGCAATTAAATATTTAAATAAGCTCGGAATGAATTTTAAAATAATAAATTTTTGCAAGTCATCACATCCTCTCCCCCTTAAGAAAATTTCGTTCTCGAAATTTATCTTGATTGATGAACAAGTCTAGATACTTTTCTCGAATTGCTTCTTCGACTTCCCAAGTCGCTTCCTCTAGACTGTGGTTCTTCCAGAGAACTTTTACTAGGGGTATCTGTTTATTTCTCAACTCCTTCACTTTCCTATCCAGAAGCTTCACTGGTTTCTTCGCATAGGTCAAGGTTTCATCAATTTCAATACTTTCCGGTTGCAAAATGTGAGAGGTGTCTGGATGATACTTCTTAAGCATAGACACATGAAATACATTATGAATTCGAGATAGACTCGGCGGCAACTCTAACTTATATGCCACATTCCCCACGCGTTGGATAATCTTATAAGGTCCTACAAATCTCGGTTGTAGTTTCTTTCCTTTCCCAGTCATCAAACTTGCTTTCAGAGGTGTAATCTTAAGAAAGACTAGATCTCTAACCGAAAATTCCAAATGCTTCCTCCGATTATCTGCATAGCTCTTTTGACGGCTCTGTGCGGTTTGAATTCTCTAGCGTACCAACTTTACCTTTTCATTAGTTTTCTCAATCCAAGACACTGTAATCGGGTCTAAAATCTTCCGTTCACCTATTTCATCCCAATAAATTGGAAACCTACATTTCCGACCATAAAGCGTTTCATACGGAGCCATTTGTATAGAAGAGTGAAAACTATTATTATAGGCAAATTCAACTAAAGTCAAAAACTTACTCCAACTTTCCCCAAAATTCAGAACACATATCCTCAAGAGTTTGGATTGTCCTCTCAGACTGCCCATCGGTTTGAGGATGATAAGTGGTACTGAAATTCAATTTAGTCCCTAACACCTCTTGCATCTTTTGCCAAAACTTTGATACGAATCTCGGGTCTCTATCGGACACAATACTCACGGGGATTCCATATAACCTGATGATCTCATCCAAGTACAACTTGGCTAACTTTTTCAATGGGTATTTCATATTAATCGGCAGAAAATGAGCTGATTTGGTCAGTCTATCCACTATTACCCAAATAGCATCATGGTCTCTTTGTGTTTTCGGTAATCCTGATACAAAATTCATGGTGATATTTTTCCATTTCTACTCAGGTATTTCCAAAGGTTGTAAAAGTCTCGATGGTCTCTAATGCTCGGCCTTAACCTGTTGACAAACGAAGCAAGTCTGAACAAATTGGGCAATTTCTCTCTTCATATTCTCCCACCAATACAGACTCTTCAAGTTTTGGTACATTTTATTACCTCCAGGATGTACCGTAAACTTTGATCGGTGTGCCTCTTCTAAAATCTCCTTCTTAAGTTCCTCATCGTTTGGCACCACTATCCGATTCCGAAACTTCAAAATACCATTCGATCCCAGGTTAAAATCTGACTTTTCTTCTTTTTCAACTTTTTCTGTCCATTTCTGTACTTCAGTGTCCTTTTCTTGAGATCCCTTGATATGTTCCAACAAAGTGGAATTCACTACAATATTTCCCAAAATGACCTTCCTCGATTCCAGTCGAGGATTCCAATAACTGATTTCTTCTAACAAGTGTAGTTCCTTAATCATCAATCCAGCCATTTGTACCTGACGGACCAATGCATCAGCCACTACATTGGCCTACCCGGGATGGTACTTAATAGTACAATCATAATCTTCCAGAAATTCTATCCATCTACGTTGTCTCAAATTCAGTTCCCTTTGAGAAAACAGATACTTAAGACTTTTGTGATCAGTAAAAACCTCAAATGTCACTCCATACAGGTAATGTCTCCACTTCTTCAGAGCAAACACCACAGCCGCTAACTCCAAGTCATGAGTCGGATAATTCCCCTCATGCGGTTTCAATTTCCTAGAGACATATGCTATCACCTTGTCATTTTGCATTAAAACACATCCCAATCCTTCCTTAGAGGCATCTGTGTAAACCACAAAACTATCATTTCTATTTGGTAGAGTTAATACAGGTGCTCTGGTTAAGTGTCTTTTCAATTCCTGGAAACTCTCTTCGTACTTAGGACTCCAAATAAACTTCCCACTCTTCTTGGTCAGATCAGTCATTGGTCCAGCAATTCTAGAAAAATCTTGGATAAACCTCCGGTAATACCCTGCTAATCCAATAAAACTCCGAACCTCAGTAGGATTTTCCGGTCGTTTCCACTTCGAAACAGCTTCAACTTTAGCGGGATCCACTTTAATTCCATCCTTAGAAATTATGTGTCCCAAGAAAGTCACTTCTTTTAACCAAAACTCACACTTGCTAAACTTAGCATATAACTAGTGTTCCCTCAAGGTTTGTAAAACAATGCTCAAGTGTTTCTCATGATCTTTAACATTCTTAGAATACACTAAAATGTCATCAATGAAGACCACCACAAATTGATCTAGATAAGATTTACAAACCCTGTGCATTAAATCCATGAAACTGTAGGAGCATTAGTTAACCCAAATGGCATCACTGCTGTGACAGCCCCACCTCACCCTAAGGCGAACCAAAGGGTTCAGCGGACCGCCTGCCCAACTCTCGCCAGAACTACGGAGTCGATTCACACAAACCCAATATAGATCGCGCGAGAACCCAACGAAAATGAACAATTGAAGACCATCAACAGTTAAAACAGAGCTTACCAAACCATACGGAAGTACGGAACGTCGGTTAAACACTTATACATATTTTTACATCGGAGTCTTGAACAAGTGAACCAAAATACAAGCCAGAGTATTCATGCTACACAAAATACAATTAGGGTTTCGGTTACAAAGGAGCTTAACAAAATAACATATACATTAGTTCGACCCCTTTTGTCCAAAATCGTGGTTTCAGAGTTTGTCCCCTGTAAGGAAAACAAAGATAACGGGAAGGGGGTGAGCTTACGCTCAATGAGGTACCAAAATAAAGTAAGAAACATGGAACTTCGTATTCAATTAATCACATATGCGCATCAAATAAAGAAATGAACAAACACCATAGATAGAAAGGATACGGGTGGCTCTCAGGAGCCAAATTCCCATTTGCTTCACTGAAGGTTGATCGAAATAATAGTTGACACTCCGTCAACGCTAAAGGAGTAACCAATACCATAAACTCCACTTTCTCCAATTCCTTCCACCTCACATACTCCTACCGGACCCGAACTCCAATCAGTTCAGAAATGGTAATACTCGAGTATACCGGAATCAAGGGTCTCAATACCCAAAGATCCAAAAACAGACTACCGTGGTTCGTTATCTAATCGACCAGACTCTTGCCGGCCCGACTCGAGTAACTAGCCACAGGTTTTAAGCTCAGAGGTCACAGAAAGGTCATTGGATACTAGCTTCCAAGTGACATCAGAACAGATACCGATACGGATACAGATACAGTTAACAGATACAGATACAGATAACAGATTCAGATTCGCACCAAATATTGGCATACGAACAGACAGGAGAACGATTGTGATAAAGTACACCCTCGTCTCAAACAAAGTAAACAGATAGTTCGGTCGTTCATATCACAGATTGCATGTACAGAAACCGAGTTAAACAACAAGTGAAGGGAGTGGTACACTTACCGGTCCAAGTATGGATATTTCCAAAAGATTTCACTTCAAACTGGCTTAAATCGCCAAGAAACCCTAAAATCATCAAAGTAAAACAATTGAAGGTTTCACATCCAAAATCAAATGAACGAAATGTACAAGTGAGGCTCGACTACATGTCGTACGTCTTTCCAAGTTAAGTACTAGTACAAAAGAATAAACTATGACTTTTGAGCAAAAAGGTAACAGTTGGTCCTAGGATTACAAACAACCCCCAAAACCCACCATTTTTACCATGATCAACTCAACTTGAAAGAATCGCGTAGCTCTAAAATTTTGGGTAGCATACCCTCTGTATTTACCAATTTTCCCCAGCCACTTATGGCTTCATTATTTTTCTCAATCAATCCCAAAATCACACACAAAATGAATCTCATTTCAATAGCCGTTCAATAGACTCCAAGTGGTACAAGTACAAATTCAAGTTAGGACAAGGGTCCGGAAACGAAGTTTAGGCCCTAAAACCAAAAGACAGTTTTGACGTCATTTAGTGGAACGGACATAACTGGAGCTACACTTATTGGATTGGGGTCTAATCTACACCATTTCGAAGCTAAGACAGAGAGCTATAACTTTGATGAAGACTACTAAGTCCAGTTCTCACCCTAACTGGATCAAATTTACCAAAACAACTCCAGATTTTCCAGTTCGAAACTCCCCGCGGAATTCAACTGGCAGTCCTGATTCATTCACTCTTATCTCAGCACACACAACTCCAAATCAGGTAATGTGATGAATTTTTGGTCAAATTTTGATTAAATGGTAAAGTAGGAAAGTTAGTCAAAGTCTAAGAATAAATGGCATGGTGACACTTGTCACCTTTTTGCCCTAAAGCTTATCTTTTTTCCTCCAATGCTAATCCAACAATAATGCAACTAAGTAACCTCTCATTATCTTTTAACACCTGATAAAATTAAACCCGGTATACACAACTTAACCTAATTGGCCGAATTTTATCCAACTTACCGTACTAGCGGGTCCCATGCCCGGTATCCACTTCTAAAATCTCATAAGCTAACTTATACTCGGAAAAATGATTTCAAAACCATCTTTACTCATCAAATTTATTTTCACAATTTTTTGAATAAATAAAATGTGAAAAAGCGTGCAATTAATAGAAAATAAAACCTAGCAATTAAGAAAATTACGATTTCTCACAATTGCAAATTCAAAGTGCCCGTACCTCGAGTTAAAAGCAGTCTTGGGTATATCCTTCTTCAAAATCTTCAATTGGTAATAACCCTGTCTCAAATCCAACTTCGAAAATACTACCGCCCCTTGCAATTGGTCAAACAATTCATCAATGTGGGGCAACGGGTACTTATTCTTGTAACATCATTCAAGCCTCTATAGTCTATACATAGTCTTAAACTCTCATCCTTTTTCTTTACGAACAAAATCGGGGCTCCCCACAGAGAATCACTCTCCTTTATAAAACCCCTATCCAACAAGTCCTGCAGTTGCAATTTCAACTCTTTCAATTCTGCTGGTGCCATCCGATATGGTGTCTTAGAGATAGGTGCTACTCCGAGAGTTACATCAATCTTAAAAGCTATTTCCCGTTCCGGGGGTAAACACTCTAACTCTTCAGGAAAAACATCTAGAAAGTCTTTCATTACAGGCACGTCCTCCAATTTCACCTTATTACTAGGGGTGTTAATAAGAAAAGCCAAATACCCTTGAGCTCCTTTGCTTAATAATTTTCTAGCCCGAATCCTTGAGATAAGTGCAGACGAAACCAATTTACCCCTTGCATCCAACTTCAGGGTTGCCTCCCTTGGAATGCACAATTCTACAATCTTTGTTCGGCAGTTTAACTGGGCATTATAACGGGTTAGCTAATCCACTCCTAAAATCACATCATATCCCTTAATTGCTATACTTATCGGGTCGGCCAATAATTTCGGCTCCCCAACACAGACTTCACAATCTCTATACACCAGGTTAGCAATTAAACTTTGATCCCCAATATGTGTTTTAACCTCCAAATCATACGGTAACTTAATTGGTTTCAAATCTATCCCACTTATAAAATTAGGGTTTACAAAAGAATGTGTTGCACCCGGATCAATTAAAACTCTAGCTAAACGATGAAAGATTGGAATTGTACCTTCAACCACTTCAGTTGCTTCAAGGATTTGTTGATAATCCAGTGCATAAACCCTAGCCGGTACTTTCGGTCGACTTCCTCTGGCACTGGTTTGCTTAGAGTTTGACTTTTCTGGTCTCTAAGCGGTACCTCCCGTTTTTGTTGATTTCGGACAGTTGGCGACTTGATGTTCAGCACTACCACAAAACAAACATTTCCCCAACTTCCTCCAACAGTCATTTTCAGAGTGGTTGGATTTACCACAGTATCCACAAGTAACTTGAGGAGTCACAGCCGAACCAGTAGAAGGCGCTCCTCTAGCCTGAGCCGGTCCACTGCGACCTCCTCTGGATAAAGCTCCCCTAGAAGCTCCAGTGGTCCTTATTCCTCCCATTCCTCTTCCCATTTTGGAAGGTTGTGCACTCTTACTAGCCTGCCCAGACGCAGAGCTAGAGAAATTTCTCTTGTTATTGTGGAAATCTCTCACTTGCAATCTTGCACTCTCAACCCTTTGTGCCTTCTCTAAATCCTCAGTAAAGGTAGAAATTTGGGCTGCGGGCAAGCCCTCATGAATTTTCACATTAAGTCGCTGTACAAACCGTCTAATCCTCTTCCGTTCATTGGTTACCAATTCAAGGGCGTACTCGGAAAGTTTAGTAAATTTCCTTTCATACTCTGCCACACTAAGGGTTCCTTGTTTTAATTTGATAAATTCATCCTGCCTCTTTTCTTGGATTAAGGGCGGAAGAAACTTTTCATTCAACTCTCTCATGAAATTCTCCCAAGTCCAAGGGGTTTGAACTCTCTCTCATTTTTCTTTTATCATATCCCACCAAACCCGAGTTACTCCCTCAAATTGGAAAGCAGTAAAATTCACTCGCCTATCCTCAGTGTAGTCTAGGGTTGCGAATATGTTGGTCATCCTCTCTAACCAATTCTCGGCTATTTCAGGATCGGGCTCTCCAAGAAACTTAGGCGGATTGAACTTTAAGAACCTCTCTAAGGCTCTATCCTCTCCTCTTTCCTGACCCCCAGGTTGGTTAAGCGGTCCAGGATCTTGTCTATCAGTTAAGCGCTCTAGGATATCAGTCATCCTATTAATGGCAGTAGCCACTTGATTACCCTTAATGTTTTCCTGTCCTTGGGTTGGTCTAGTTGCCGACCCCTGGTCATCCCTCTGAGATTAGGCCTGTCTAGTCCCTCGCCCATGATCTCGACCACTTCTTAGCCCTTCCATAACCTAGGCATGCCTAGTGCAAGAAATAAATCAATTATACTATGCAAAGTAGAAAGCAAGCACCAATCAAAACATTGAAAATATCAATAATTTACATTCATTAGCATATCAAGTTCATACAATTAGCAAGTCATGAGGTAGTCACAAAAATATAGTACACAGGTGCCACAAGAGTACTTTTAGTCACAGAAGACTAAAGTAAAAGCAAGTGCTTCAAAAGTAAGCCACACAGTCATGCAAAATACAATGGCCTAAGCACTTCCTAGTTATACCAGTCAAAAGGGTCAAAAGAATCAAAAGGTCAATCACTAGGGTCTAGTCCATAGTAGGACTACCGGGTGGAACCTCCTCCTCAGGGCTCTGGACTACCTCCATCGCCTCATCCACTAGCCTAGTAGCATCAGTCAAGATGTCGGAAGCCCAACTACGGACCTCCTCTCTCAACCTAATAAGTTGAGCCCTAGTACTTTGGAGATCCTCACGAACGACTGCAGATGTGGTCACCTCGCCCTCTAGGACCTCCTCGAGCTCCACAATCCTCTCCCCCTGAGCGCTAACCATCTTTTTAAACTCGTCTACCTCTGCCTGTAAATTCCGATTAAGATTCACTAACTGACGACGCTCGTCGTCCAAAGCAAGAACGAGGTGGTTCGGGTAGGCAAAGGTCAAGCTACACAAACATCGGGGATATCTGTCAGATGGGGAATAGCGTACTCGAGCTCCTCCACCAAGAGCTCGGTAGAAGATAGGTCTAAGAGGCACTACATGACTATTCGCATGGCCATTCCCGTTAGCTACCGGAGTTCCATTTCCATTTTCCATCCCTGTAAAATAATCACGCATTTCGGATTAGAAATTAAATCACTATCTAGTTCGGATGCCGTTTATGCATGCCTAACCCACTCACTAGTATGCTCCAAATACCTCTTAAGGTATAACTTAGTTATTCGGACTCAGGTCTTAAGGGTAGAGTATCTAATATGTCTCCCATATAGATCTCTAACATAGCGCTCTGATACCAACTGTGACGCCTCCATTTCTCTCTAAGGCGAACCAAAGGGTATCCGTGGGACGCCTGCCCAACTCTCGTCCGGACTCAATCAATAACTATTCAAGCTTATATCGGTGCTAGAAGTCGACAACCAGAAAATATATATTCAGATAGTGCGGAAGCGTTCAAGATTAACGATTTATAACAATCACCCAATCCTTACATCAGATTCCCATAATACAGCCCAAAATATACAATATCCAAAAGTTTAGACAAAAGAGTTGGAACCTGTGAGAACTCGTAATTTTCTTAATTGCTAGGTTTTATTTTCTTCTAATTGCACATTTTTCCATATTTTATTTATTTGAAATATTGTGAAAATAATTTTTATGAGTAAAGATGGTTTTGAAATCATTTTTTCTAATATAAGTTAGTTTATAAGATTTTAAGAGTGTATATCGGATGTGGGACCCACTAGTGTGGTAAGTTTGATAAAATTCGGCCAATTAGGTTAAGTTGTGTATATCGGGTTTAATTTATCAGGTGTGAAGAGATAATTAGAAGTTACCTAGATGGATTATCCTTGGAGAGACAAAAGGATAGAGTTGCATTAAATAAGGGTGACAAGTGTCACCTTGTGGTTTATTCTTGACTTTGACCATCTTACTTACCTTTACCAATTAACCAAAATTGACCAACAATTCATCATTTTCTTCATCCTTATGGCTGAATATCTTCAAGAGAAAAGAAAGGAAAAAGCCCTCAAATTTCTTGCTCCAACCTTGCTCAATCCAACAAACCAACCGATTAATCTTGAATTTTTTCCATAAAAACCCTTAGTTTAGTGATTGTGAGGTGATTAGTGAAGTGGTTTGGAAAATTAAGGTACTAAATTGTCTACTTTCTTTGGTTGATGAGGTGAGTAGCTTAGGAACCTCTCTTTTCTATCTATTGATGTTTAATTAGTGGCTTGTGGTAGTCTAAGAGGTGATTTTGTGGGCTATTTCATGATTTTGGTTGAGATTGGCGAATTTTTTCTATTTATTCATGATTTTTCTGCTTTTATATGTTTAATATTGTGTGGCCCTGGATGATGGTTGGGAATGGTTTAGAATGAAGCTATAGTGCGTAAATTGTGGCTATTTGCGGAAAATTTCCGCTTTGAAAGGAAATTTCGGAATTAGGGTTTCAATTAACCCCATTCTACCCGGTACTATTTCCCCTAGTTAGATGCCGAATTACCCTTGGATTAAAACATGAAAATTGTAGAGAATGATATTTTATTGTTGCCTGCAAAATTTCAGCCCAATCGGAGCAATGTAGCCTATGAAAAGACCAAAATACCCCTGCTGCCCTGTTTCTGTCCGAAACTGATAATCAACTTCTATAATTGGTTAGTTTGACTGGGAATACTACTGATTTGGTTGTTGATGTCTTCTTAAGAATTATATCTTTGTATCTTAGCTTTCAGATGGCTTTGGAATCACTTGAATTGGAGTCGTATGTGCTGAGATATGATCGAATGAATTAGGACTGCCACAGTAAACTTCGAACCGGAAAACCTGGGGTTGTTTTGGTAAATTTGACCTAGATACATTGTAAACTAGACTGAGTCACCTTCTTCAACATTGTAGCCCTTTCTTTTAGGTTCAAAACGGTGTATATTTTTCATCTATCCGATAATCGTAGTGCCAGTTGTGTCCAATACGCTAAACGACGTCAAAACTGTTTTTGGGTTTTAGGGCTTAACTTTCATTTCCGGTCATTTTCCTAGCTAAATTTTGTACTTGAATGACTTTGAGCCTATTGAACGGTTGTTGTGATGAATTTATATTGCGTATGACGTTGGGATTGATTGAGGAAAATAATGAAACCATAAGTGGTTGGGGAAAATAGGTAAATACAGAGGGCATGCTGCCCAAAATTTTAGGGCTACACGATTCCTTCAATTGAGTTGATCTTAGTACAAATGAGGGATTTTGGGGGTTGTTTGTAACCCTAGGACCAACTGTTATCTTTTTGCTCAGAAGTCATAGTTTATTCTTTTGTACTAGTACTTAACCTGGAAAGACGTACGACATGTAGTCGAGACTCACTTGTACATTCCGTTGTACATTCTGTAAGCTCACCCCCTTTCTGTTGCCTTTGTTTTCCTTACAGGGGACAAACTTGGAAATCACGGTTTTTGGAAGAAAAAGGTCAAGCTAGTATATATGTCTTGCTGTTAAACTCTTTAAAAACGAAGCCCTAATTGTATTTTGTGTAGTATGAGTACCTCGGCCCGTACTGTATGTAAATTTGTTCAAGACTTCAATGTAAATATATGTATAAGTGTTTAACCTTGTCGAGTAAATGTATTCCGTTGAGACTATGATTTTATGGTTTGGTAGGCATGTTCTAACCTTAGTAGTTTTCGATTGTTCATTTTCTTTGGGTGCTAACGGCCGTACTATGCTGGGTTTGCGTGAATCGAGTCTGTAGTTCTAGCGAGAGCTGGGCAAGCAGTCCGCCGAACCCTTTGGTTTGCCTTAGGGTGAGGTGGGGCTGTCACAGGTGGTATCAGAGCCACTTCGCGTGGTCTCTGCGCCGAGAGAGATTGGGCCAAGTGGTGTTATGGTCCTGCTTTCATGAATGCGTCGAAAGGTATAAGTGCTCTTTTGAGCGTAACTGTGCATGTCATAAGTGTAAAGATCTTTATCATGGGACTTCAGGAAACTAGATATATATGTTGGGTAGGAATCTATAATATGGATGATTTACGCTTGGGACCGGCCGGCTCGAGTTGTGAATTATCTTAGATGGGTTCTTGCGCCTGGATACGAAAGAGATGAGAGCCTAGGTTAGAAAGGATTGGGCGAACTAGAAATGCGATTCTATGGAATTTCGTGTGGTTTGTTCGGGTGTGGTTAAGCGTGATCAACCTTGATTAAGATATAAATGATGTTGTTCTCGTAGATTATGGACGGAGCTGTGGCGACCCCACTTCCCCCTAAGGCGAACCAGAGGGTTGGCGGGCCGTCTGCCTAGCTCTCGCCAGGACTCACGCAAGCAAGCTAGCAAAAATCCTTCCGAAGTATAACCTAATCTATTACAACATCGTTTCCCTTCAAACAAGCCGGGTTCTAGAATCACATTAACTTCAGAGATAACAGTACTATAAGATAGCCAAACGTCGATTCTTAAAATACCTTCCCGATTACAACCCTAGAAACAAAACATATAATTCAAATACATCCTTATAAGCCAAGTACCAAATTTCATACAAGCCACATACAAATTCAAGGGTTACACTTTTCCAGCTTCAAGTGGTAACCCGAAACAAAAGCTACATTGTTTAATTCAAACTACATGCTTAAAGTACAAGTAGATCTCAAGTCTTCCTCAGTTGTCAGAACCTGTAAAAGAAAACCACAACGTGGGATGAGCTACACAGCCCAGTGAGGTTCCAAGACGCTCTAACAGTTCAAAATAGGTCAAGTAAGTTGTGCATATCATATGCATGATTCGAGGTTACACAATGGCATGTTACCATGAGGTGATAATCATTACACGGATAATTTCTACTTTGAAAACACATGTAGAACTAGTACTTTTGGAATGAATGGCCATATAAACATATTTTCATAAATTTTCAGTCAAACAAATAGTGGCTCGTCCGACTAGAAGAACATTACAAGGATTGCTTCATCTCAGAGGTTAATGCTCATGAGGAGTCTTACCCGAGAATGCCAACTAGGAGAGCAATAACATTATAATAGCAAAACAACCACAAAAGGATACGGTGTTCCAGTGGAAATTTGTCGGTCATCTGCACCTTATAACTCCCGGATCCCCACGGTTGACTGGCCATCACCTTATCCCTCCAGTGGTAATACTCGAGTATACCGAAACGGTTGTCCAGGGTTCCAACCTACCCGACCGAGCCCAGTCCTGGCTCGAGTAGGTCAGTAACCGAGGCGGGGCCCAAGTTCAGCTTATAGCTTACAACATGCACAGGTAACAAAGTAATTTGACAAAAGTAAAATTCATCATTTGAATAGGTCGAGGGAGGTAAAGTACACACTCGCCTAACAATGATGGACAACTTCATATGAGCATATAATTTATGATAATCAAGAAATCAGTAACCACATATATTAGAAAACGGTAAGTAAACACGGTAAACGGTAAACGATAAACGGTAAACGGTAAACGGTAAACGATAAACGGTAAACGGTAAACGGTAAACGGTGGTAATTACGGTTAATTGGTAGACATATGTCATTTTAATAGGCCGCCATTGGCCGTTTTGCACTTTTACCACGTAAGAGTCGAGGAGATTCACCCCAACGACGCAACCACATTTAGATTCACAGATTCATTAGTTATGGTAGTTGATTCACGAGTCGAGGGATTCACCCAACGACGCAACCACATTTAGATTCACAGATTCATTAGAAAATATTTCACACACTTCACCACTCGAACGGCTAGTGTGATAAAGTACACACTGCGCACTTCGATGGATCGGAACTCATTTTCCAAATTGTCACATAACGAGTTACAAGAGCACTTTAACCGAATAAGCATAAAATAAGCAGGCTAAGCACATATTGAGTTTACAAGATTATTTGATAGGGTTAATCATTTAACCAATTCATGTCGATATGCAATGCATATATATATTTCTTAAATAGGCATGAGTATGGTAAATACTTAACGATCATGAAATGAGCATGTCCTAGACTTACTCAATTACGTATTCCTATATGGAACACTCACCTAGTCAAACAAGGGCAATAGGTTCAATTTGAAGTTCAAGCGTCCTCTGTCGGATCCTCTTAAAGGTCCTTGCGTGCGCCTGAACGAATAGTAATAGTCTATCATTTACAATCCCTACTATTGTTGAAAATCGTGTCATAGTACAAACTTAGGAAAAATCTCGTGAACAAGTCTTAATTATCCTAAATCTAAATTCTCAAGCGGGGTTTCAAGATACAAGAGAAATTAAGTCTACATCATGAAATTCAAGGATAAGACATTTGGATATTATCGAAGGAATAAGGAGTACTTGAAAAACTCCATTTCCTTGGAATTCGGAAAAATTTCAGTTTTGATGCGATACTTTGAAAAATCGTAGCTCACCTTTTACATGTCAAAGATTGGAAAACTTGGTACCGTTGGAAACCTCCTTCAAAATACTAAAAGTTCCTAGAATACACTTTTTCATGATTCTAAATGGAAGATAGTCAAAATGGGCTCAAAGTTACTGTTTTGGTACATAAGGCAGATTTAAGTTGGTTTTTGACCAACTTTGGAAATTCGGCAAAATTCACTTGTTTGGAAATAGCTTTTGAAATTTGTGACTCTATTAGTGTTGTAATTCAAGAGTATAACAAAACAAACGGAACGAGGAACGGAGTTTTGAGCACCAAGATACGGTAGCTCAAAGTTACCAAAAGTTTCTTGTTAAACAAGGGTTTTCCAAAGTCAAGTCTCGAACTTTGGTAATTTATTTGACCCATGAATCGGTCTCGGAATAACACCATAGTTAGCAGTATAATACTACCATATAAGGGTTGTTCCTCTACCAAATTTCATGGAAAAATAACTTCGGAAAGGTGGTCAATCAAACACCTAAAATTTCGCAAATACTAAGACAAAACTGCCTTGAACCTTTTGTTTTTCCATTTCAGATATTTTGTCAAAGAAAAATTCCTCCAAACCTGGTTCATTTGTTTAGGCAAAACTTAAAGAACGTTCATGGTACATTTGGTAAGTGTTTAGCATCAAAATATTCAGTTAGCAAGTCTTTGCCAAACCTTGCATCAAATCTGTCTAAAAAATCAGGGTTTTCAAGGACAGAGCAGGTTTCATATTTTGATCACAGATCACTCAAATTAACTCAGAATTTGGCATGGTTTAAGGCGTTGGAAAACACATTCATAGAGCTATAATTTCATAGAAGAAATCAGTTTGAAATTCGGCACACAACTAGCTCGAATTCGAGCCACAAGTTGCAGCCTCAGCATTTTGTTCTTGTAAAACAGAGAAACAGGATAGTCATCTTTAAATTATTGGTTCGGCTCACACACATGGAACCAGAACATAAATTTTATACCGTTGGAAAGGCTGGGATGTCTAGTTTCAAATGCCGCTGACGGTACTTAATTTCGACATCGGAGCACAAATTTATAGCCGAAATACGAAAACTGGTCAAAGTATTACTGAAATAGTTCCAGATTTACTAGCTTTGCGAAATCATTTTATTTGACCAACCAAAACTCAATATTTTTCAATGAAACTTTGTACACCACATATTTAACATATAAACATAATATACAAGTCATGAAACTCTCAAAATTCTACAAAAAGAGGTGCGATTAACACAGGGCAAAACTGGACATTTTTAAACTATGCATCTCTTGGAGCCTAGACTAGCTAGGTATCATTAATCTATCTATTTAAACACTAAACTAGCATTATAATTATCATTAACCACAAAATCAACAACAACCCAAGATTGGGAGTTCATAGAGCCCACCATCAAAATTTTCCAACCATCATTTACCAAAGAAAAATTCCAGAACAATTGCAAAATTTCAGTTTCACTCCCTTGGCTTTCACAAAAATTTCCAGCAGCTAATTGGTCATAAACCCAACTTTTCCTTCGGTTAATTCATGGTATTAGGTGCTCAGAATTAACATGCAAATACTTAATTAGCTAATCAACATTTCTTGTTCAAAAATTAGATTCGGACAACAGTAACATTAATCCAAAAAAAATTCCAGAAATTCCGTTTGCTACCTTCGGATGAACTTGCATGCGGACAGATTGCATTTTATTCTTATTTCTTCTTGCTTAACCGAATCAAGGAGCTGCATGTAAAGCTTAAACATCTTGTTCTTAGTTAGTTAATTATATTTATAAGCTGAGATTACTACAAGAAACAAGATTAGCGCTGCAATTCTGTTTTAGTTCTCGGCAAAACCCGTTGCCGACGCAATTCAGATTTTCTTTTCTTCTTAAACTCATCATCCGAGCCTAACTTCACATGCATGCTTATAATCAGCATTCTCTACCTAATATCAGCTAATCTGAGACCGAAAATTACCTCAGCTGGAGGCTCAACTCACACGACAAGCTGCTGCAAATTTTCTCCCTTTCTCTCGGCTCGCACACGGACTGGATGGTTGCAGCTGCTCTTGGTTGGGTGCAGTGGGTCACGGTTGGTGGAGGTGAATTGCAGCTGGTTAAAGTGAAGGTGGAGAGTGCAGCAGCAGCTCACGCACGGTCTCTCTCCTTTCACTCTTGCTTACGGCAGAATTGAAGATGGAAGCTTACTCTCTCGGACAGCACCAATTTTCTGATCGCATGACTTCCTTTCTTTTCTCTCTTCGATATTCACAAGGTGAAGAATGGAGTGGGTTGTTGTTGTGAGTTGAGGTGCGGTTGTGGAGAGATAGAGTGTTTGAGAGGATGGTTTGCTGAAATGGAGAAGTTGCGTGGTTGAGAGGAGCAAAGAAAATGACATCCGGCAGAGAATGGGATTGGGTGATCTAAAGGTTGGCCAATGGAGCTTCGGTGGTTGCATGGTAATTTCGAGATGGTGGAGGGCCATTTTAGTCTTTTCACGTCTCCTCCTAATATCCACTTAAACCCTCATTTCTAATCTAGTTCCAACATTTACCCCGAATGTAAATTGAACGCCTAATAATATACTAATCTTGTGAAAGTTTGATTATCGAAATTTTAACGTTCTAAGTATACTTGGTGTACTTGTAACGATTTTGTCTACAATTATCAACCTCATCTTAATACTAAGGTACCTATTAACACTTTGACATTTTTAACGATTAAAACTAACTATCGGCATTTAATGAATTAATTGTTAGGTCAATGAAATAATCTACCTTGGAAATATTCTTTTATCTTAACAGAAAACCAAGTGGTTTAATATTGTTGCTCCATAATAATATTTATCACATAAAGAAAAATTGTTTAAGAAGGTAAAGATAGTTTTCTATCGGTTTCTAACTAACATGGAAAATCAACATTTAATCTTTGTACATGTTAAGCATCTACATGCTTCAAAACAAGTGTTTTTCCCTGTTTATTTTATTATTTATTTTCATAACAATAATTCTAACTAGTACTAATATTTAATGGGGTAGGTGATACAAAATCCAAAGGTATTACTATTTTATTTGTTAACGAAAAGAAATAATTAAACATGTATTTTAATAAATAAAAGAAAGTGGATCATGTATCAACTTTTGAATAAGGAATAAAATTTTCAAGCTCTCACTCGAAATTCTTGCAGTTACTCCTAGGTAAATCAGGATATTTCTAAATTCTTGATTTTTATAAAAATTCAATTAGGCTTTTAATTTAACCACTTATTCGTTATATGTAATTTTTCGAATCGATTGTTAACTGCAGTCGCGTATTTACTATTTTCACTTAACGAGCCTTCACAAATTAAATTTCGAAACGAATCGTTTTAAAAATATAACTAAGCTATGGATATATTT